TCGTTCTCAGTTCTAATCCATTTTTGACCCAAACCTTAAACGTGCCGATTATTCTTCACAAATTGGCTCGTGGCGTAGGCCACATGAGATGTTGCTCCGACTTACATTGAAACAGAAATCTTTGATAATGTGATGAGACAAAATGGCGTCTGCTTTTCACTTTCACTTTCGACATTAAAAATAAAATATAAACGTCGGAAGTCAGAAATGCATACATGGCCTACGCCACGTAATTTTTTTTAAAGATTCATAATCCATCCTGGTTATTTAATGATGATGCAGGATTTGCTGGAGCTAAGCGGATTAAACACATCGTACACAAAGAGGCTAAAGTGCACCGGTTATCGGTTTTCCTTAATGTGAGATAATTGCGAGTCTATAGCACTGGAGAGTACTTGAAATTACATCTCCTAACATGCCGTCGTGCATTTCAGTCCTGATCGGTTCACAAAACTCATTTGAAGTAATTTAAATTAAATTCACAAATCCTGTGTCGTTAAACACCTTTCGAAGCGACTTGGGCTGGTGCCGTCTGGAGAGCGGTATGGAAAATTCAGCGCTCGGAACAGCTTTGTTTACTTTCCGCAGCTCAAGCATAAGCAAACCTGGGCCTGTTGGTTAGGCTACAAGATGGTTAGTGTTGTATTTATTTATTTTTATCTTATTATTATCACTAGCAATTCGACTTTGCGATTGATATACTTAATCATTCTGCAGGATCTGCAGGACGAAACAAACGCACCAACGAGGCGAAGGAGAGGGAAAGGAAAGAGAAGACTTGTTGGACGTAAGCCTAAAACAGTCAGACCTTCATCAAGCAGTCAAGAGAACAAGGTTTGTTTGTGGTTTTTGGAAGTGCGACCCCTTCTCTATGATTTAAAAAAAACTGTATTTTTTATTTTCATCTCAGGATTCACCAGCCTCCGAGGGTACCGCTGGCAGTAGCAGCAATGTTTGTGATTCAGAGAGTGATGCAACATATACGGACTCTGATTCTGATGGCTCTGATACAGGACATGTTAGTGTTGCTAATGTTTTGGTCTTCAAATCTTTTAAACACCTGAGCCAGAGCACATTCTTGGTTTTACTCTGATTTTTGCCTTTTCTTTTTAGAAAACCTGTAAGAAATCTGTAAACGAGCCCCATCTCTGCTCTGAGACTGAATTTTTTTCAGAGACAACAGCGTCAGAACAGACAGTCAATGAAACTGATTTTGAAGAGGTAACTACAGCAATGCACATCAAATGCAGGTCATAAAGAGTTAACAGTCTTTTTTTTATTGTTTGAAGTTAACCTTCTCTTCTTTTGTGTTTACAGCAAACAGAAGTACGGAAAAGGCGAAAACATGTACCACAGTTAGCCTATAGAAGAAAACATGCAAGTAGACGAGTACGTTATTAAGCTCTATATTGTTAAATTACAAGGTGTGGAAGCACAGATATGTAAAATATTTTTTTATCTATCCTGTAGGTGGTTCCTCCTGAATCAGAATCTGAAGAGGAAGGTGAAAGACATGCTACAAAGAGTTCGGACTCAGCAGGGGAGTTATCTGTTACTGAAAGTTCCAGCAGTGAAGAGGAAAACCAAGATGAAAAAGTGAGTAGCATGCAGAAAAGATGTATTTAAAAATTGTTTTGTGTGAATTAAAGTAGAACCAATTAATTAAATTACTAACTTCTCACTTTCAGTTGGAAGAAAATGTTACTCGTTCTCATTCTGTTGATGCAAATGAAGGGCAAACTGGAGCAAGGAGTAAAGGACCTGCTTCTGAGACAGAAGGAAGTAATGTGAGTAAAATTAAAAAATCTGTTGCCTAATTTGTTAAAAGGTTTGTCTTTTTAAAAATTGTTTTTATTTATT